AAGAAATATCTACCTAGTGAATTCTACTATTAATTGCTGAAGTTTTATACCACCATTCCAGGAAGAATTTCACCTACTTGCTTTCTACATTGCAGGCTGCTGTTCAAGGCACTCAAGTAGAACCAGTAAAGAAAATGTGGTATTTAGCAAAGGTCTACCTTTCTTGACAGGGTTTTTTTTAAAAAAATTTAATTTGTACTCCATAATGCCAAGTCCCCAAGGTGGCTTGTCTCTAGTTTGACACTTCCTGGACCAAATAGAATCCCACTCTTAATCAAGGAGAAGAATTCCTCTGAAAGCTTAATCATACACCATGTAGATTTGTGAATCCAATGCAGGTGCACAAAACACTCTGAAGGCAATTTTTATATTTTTTAGACTACCTTGAGGGTTACTTTATCTATATATCTAATTCTCAAGTCACCCCCTGGTGTGCGGATACTTAAATCCGCACATCAGGGGCACCTGGGGGGGAGAGATTTTTGGGCACACGTGGGTGTGCACAAAAATCTGAAACCCCGGGAAAAATATCGGGGGGATGTTTAAATCCCCCCGAAACTGACAGAGCGTCCCCTGCGCATGTGCAGGGAATGCTCTGTGAACGCTGCTGCCGCCACTTCGAGCAGCAAGGCGAGCGGTGAGCCGGGAGGGGGGGGCCTCGCTTTGGAGCCGGGGGGAGGGAGAGAGAGCCGCTGGGGGGGAAGGCCAGAGGGGGGGAATGCCAGAGGGGGGAGATCGAGCGGGGGGGTGGAGGATACGGGGGAGGAACCAGCAGGATGGGGGGGACTTACCTCCTCCTGCTGCTTCCTCCTCCGCTTCCTGAGTTTGGAGCTCAGTTTGGAGCTCTGCCTCCCCCCCCCCGCGAGTATCGCGGGTCCACCCCTTGTTCTATTTAATCTTAAAAATGTATTTTTTTCTAATCCATTCCTGTTATCTCTCTTTTTTTCTCTGTACCGTAAAGTGTACTTTCTCATCTCTCAATGCACCACTACTCATCTCTTTGAACTTTACTGTTAAGCTTTTTTCTTTTCTCTTGTACCTCATGGCATTTTTATACTACTATAGGTCAGCTCCCACCACTCATCTTTCAGTTGCTCCTTCTTTTCTGAAGCTCATCTTGCAGGCACAAAACAAGAAATTAACAGCTCATTTCCTTTTAAAAAAACTAATCAGCAAACTCACATGGCTGCTTTAAACATCAGGGAAGCAGAGCTGGCAGAAGAACCATATCCATCTTCCCCCCACAAATAGAGCTAACTATATCTTTGAGAGCAGGGAAGAGGCTGATTTTCATCAAGGAAATGGCATGGAAGGAAAGGGTTAGACGCTCCTTCACTCACAGCCACTTTCTCAGTCTCTACCGAAGGCACTTGGTTAATTAGCTTATTAAATATAAGTGGGGAATCCTAATCACAAATCTTCTACATCATGTCTCTTTCAAGCCTGCTACTCCTCTGTTTTCTCTCTCTACTTCAGAATCTTCTCTCTCTTCCTTCTGCACTACCACAAGCATCTCTGAACCTCCCTCCCTCCCTTACTTTTTCTTTGTCTCTTTCTCTATCCACACTACAATGTTTTTTTGTCCCAGTCCCAAACTCATCAGCTTGCCAGACACGACTGTCATCTTCACAGGGGTGTGGGATGCTGCTGTTGTCCCCACTGTCCTGGAGGGTGCAGCCTAGGCCATAGGGGCATGTTGGTGGAGGAAGTAACACCAACGAGCGGGGGGGGGGATGTAACAAATAAGGATAGGGTTGCCAGTCTTCAGGTGGAGTCTGGAGAGATCTTGGAATTATAACTGATCACCAAACTTCAAAGGATGGATTCGATGGCATTATACCCTATTGAGGTCCTTCCCCTCCCCAAACCAAATCCTGCCCAGGGTCTACCCCCAAATCTCCAGGAATTTCCCATCCTGGAGCTGACGACCTTAGGCAAGGGGGAAGCTACAACACAATCCCCCAAGAGGGAGGACTGAAGGAAAACCAGGCAAAGCCATATCCAGCCCAATTTAACTTGAGGGAGTGGCCCAGCACAGGTGAGGCCCACTGGCTGAAGGTGAAGCTAGGGCCACCCACAGGCTGAGCATAGGCTAATAGGAAGGTGGACAAAAGGGAGGCCAAAAGACCAGGCCGAGGAAGAATAGACAGAGTGTTTCAGGCTGTGCAGGAGATGTCTGTAGGTGAAGGAACCAGGGGCTGGCAATTCCCCTTCCCTCTCAGTTCTGAAGTCTTGGAGAAGCCCTTGTGGGGAGCAATAGAAGGTCCTCCCCCAGGACCAGTAGGATAGGGGGCAATCCCTCCTTCCCTGTAGACTAAGGCAGTGGGGGGAAGCTCTTTACACAGACAGTCTCAGTTTTTTCTGCCAAGTTTCTTGTTTTTGCAGTTTCTGTCCCCCTATTCTCTTACTTCTATTCCTCTTCATTGAGTTCAGCAACAACAACAACAACAACATATAAGGCTTCCACTTCCTCCCACATTCACACACTGAAGGGGTTCCAAATAAAGGTTTGCTTTCTAGTATAGAAAAACTGGTCCCAACTCCACCATGTGCCCCCAAATCTAAGGGGAAAGTGAACAAAGCTTATGTAATGATACTGGCATTCTTTCATTCTAACCCACACTTCTGATGGGTTTTTTCCTGTCCTCGGGGTAGGAGCCCCATTATGTTATCTAGTGGTGCAGTCAACCTGATACCACCTGGGTTAAGAAAGAAGTGCCATTCACAAAACACAAGCCCATGTTGCGGCTGCTTAAATATGTAGCAACATTTTTATGGCTTCTGCCATCCAGTAGTCAGTACGCAGTAAGCAGAAGCTTTGAGAGTGAGTTCAGTAATGTCATTCTTACAGAAAACTTTCATATTTTCTCTTATGATGAGCTACATGGCTGAAACTGAGTTCAGTAATGTCATTCTTACAGAAAATATTTTCTCTTATGATAAGCTACATGGCTGAAATCCTTCCACAAAAACTGGAAAGAGAGGCACAGTAGGACTAAAACATCTTAGCAAAATTGTTTTTCAGGAATATTACTCATATCTCATGTGTAATTTTTTTTTCAAACTCCCATACATGGGGAAATGAAGGTATGCTGCTGATGAGGCCTGTATAACTCTTTTAGACAGTTCACTGTTTCATTGTACCTTGAGGAAGAGGTTGCATGGTTCATGACATCTATTTTTTGCAGGAGAAAAGCTTTGCAATCATATGCTCTTAGTTCAGGTTCAGGTTATACCCTGATCATGACTGCAGGTCTTTTACTATATATCGCTATCAAACTGTGAAATGAGTTTAGAGGTCTAAAGCAACACACACTGTTATCTGAAAGGCACCATCACATATGGACTCTCACTATGGTCAGTCTCACTTGCCAAGACAAGGATTTGAAGCAGACTGGAGACAGAATTAAATATTGTTCCTTTATGGCAAGGCTCAAGCACCTTGCCCGGGTAATCTAGGAAAACTCATGCTATCTGTCACAGAGCATGCTGAATATATTAGGCTGGGACCCCAATTTTGTTATCATGTTGCATGACAACATCACAAGGTTGCCACAGATTCTCAGAAAACAGCTGAAAAACATTAAAACTCGGTGAAAACACTGCTTTATATATATAAAAGAAGCATGCATTGTGGATGTATAGAAAATTACAGGAAGATAATCTGGAGTGACTTTGTGAGGACACTGCAACCTTCACATCTGTCTGTGGTATAAATGCATGTCCATGGCACAGATGTCCTGTCTTGCTTTGTTGTGCTTTTTACAAATGACTGAAAAATTACTAAATGTACCTAATTCAGTTCAGTTCCTTAACCAACCAAGTTTCCCTCTGTTAACAAACAGCTTAATGTGTAGAGTCACATTGTTCACTGTGGAAATATTTGCACTTCCACAGTGCCATCATAGTACCTGCCTCAATTATCAGGAGTTGTACTCGGCCTAATGACACTTGCCTTTGCTTCTGCTCCAGGTCTGGCTTTTAAAAATACTATACCCAAAAAGCCACTTTCACAGGAAGATCAAAACAGGAAGTTATCAAGATACAGCCACCATGGAGTGCCTTTCTGTGATACCATTTGGCAGGAAGGCATGTCTTTTGATTCAACTACTTCATCTTCTTTCTTCTCGCCTCTCTTTCTGGGGTTGTTTTTTCTTTTTTTCCCTCCCCCAAATACAGATAATAGTACTCATGTTGTATGTTTCCAATATTTGGTAAACAAAAGGATACTACAGAAGTAATGGTTTCATTTTTAGCTAATATTGTTAATGGATCAAAGAGTTTGACATGGCAGACACAACATGAGGGTTCCTGAAGAGGTCAGAGCAGGTACTAAAAGCTAATAAATATCTTTACCCTTCATTGGAATCTTTTCCCCTTCATTGGAATCTCATGTTTTAGATCTCACTGTTGGCGATTATATAATCAGTGACCATCTTCCACTTATTTTAACTCTCAATGTCAGCCCTTTTACTAGAACCCAACTTTATTTCCAACACCAACCTGACAAGCTCTATCTGTTGCCTAGAATCTTATGGAATGATAGCTCTATGCAAAAAAAACAACAATTACTCAAATCAAACCTACTTCTAAAGTACAGATACTCTTTAATTGATGCAAATGAACATTCATCAATGATCATAGCCTGTAATGCTTTAACATCTCACATATCTACCTCACTGGGCAAAGAACTTGAGAGTGGAATAAATATCACATGAGATGTGTGGTCATCTGTCCACATGGGCTCCTCAGGCCAACTACAGGACAGGACAGATAAAACAAAGCAAGCACAGAGAAGCCTTGAGATGCCCAAATGAAACTGTTTTTAAAGTTTTTGATTTATAGGAGACTCTTCTTATTTTGAGGTGTGGCTACCTAGCTAAGAGTAGCCAACTCAGCACTGCTGCCTTTAATAGCTGATCAAGCAAGAGTCTCATGACCAGAGCATTTTATAAATGAGCTACAGTCACACCATCATTATTTCTAATGGTCCTACTTACCTGAGTCCAGAACATGTACTCAGACTGACTGCAGACTCAGCATAACCTTGCACGTGACCATGGTAGTAGCAGTGATCCTAATTAAACAGAGAACAGTGGGGAAATTCAGTACCTTTGCATTTTCTGTATTTTTAAAATTTTATTTATTTCATTTATACCCCGCCCTCCCCGCAAGCGGGCTACTCATTTCCAGCTTTCATTTGTAGCCCCTTTCATTGCAGAGTGATAAGAGGAAATACGCATGCCTTTAAAAATGAAAGCTGGTAACTAACAGATCATGGCAACGGATTATTATAATGTTGCTACTGTGCTATAGGGTTGCCAGCTCTGGGTTGGGAAATACCTAGAGATTTTGGAGGTGGAGCCTGAGGAGGGTAGGGTTAGGGGAGGAGCTTCAATGAGGTATAATGTCATAGAGCCCACCTTCCAAAGCCACCGTCTTCTCAAGGTGAACTGGTCTCTGTCACCAGGAGACCAGTTGTAATCCCAGCCACCACCAAGGTTGGCAACTCTATAGCAGGATAATAATTCCTGATTATTATTTTTTTTTAAAAAACAAAGCCTTCCAGGGGGAGGGGGATAATTAGTGGCCATGGGAGGCTGAGCCAGAGAAAACAGCTGTGTGAGTGTACTGTTGCCACTGTGAAATCCTCTGCATTCTCAGCAGAGCCACACAGAAAACTGTCTCCATGTGGACGTAGCTTATGTTTACTGGAAAACTATTATGAGGGCATGGTGTAAAATTAAGCAGCAGAGCTAATTACATTGCCATTTACCTTTAGGCTTTCAATACAGATACATCTTTATTAATGTGAAGCAGATTTACAATATGTATCTAAGCATATCGTGCAAGGTAATCCCCTGTTTTCCTGGCTTCAGAACCGCATGAACCATGTGAAAAGGGTTGGTGAATGAGAAAGCATTTTATTAAATTATGTTGACTTGGGAGCAGCATGTTATTAGGAACAGGAATAAAAGGGAGTTCTATTTTCAGAAGCAACAGGCTTGTTTCATTTTGTGGCTTGGTTATTATATTTCTTTAATAAATCCAGCTGCTTACAAAAGGCAACCACAACAGAAGATACATACTCAGTAAAGATGCACATTTGTCTGGAACCAAGGTTAATGCTATTGTTGACTAAGGTAACAGCATATTCCCAATTATGGACCTGGCTAGAACATAATGATTATATCATGTTCAGCATTTCTTTCTTTCTTTCTTTAAATAGCTCCTCTGAATGCCATGTGGAAGCCCAAAGCCCCATTGTAAAAGGTTGCTATTTTATTAGAGCAAAGGAAAGTTATCACTCATATTTCAGCCTGGCAGTCATCCCACTCTGCCTCTTATTACTTTGGTTCATTCATATCTAAGCTGCATTAATTAACCTTTCCAGTATCAGGGCATGGTTTTCAATTACATAGCCTCAGACAGCAGACTTCCAAAGACCACTTTGATTTTGTTAGAGAAAGCAATAACGATGAAAAGACCACCAGGGTTGAGTTTTAATAGTTCAGGAGTATGATTTCTTGGCAAATTGGATTACACAGTAAAGAAAATATTAGTTGTGCACAAGAGTATCTCTCCTTTCCTTTTACTTTTTAGGTGGAGATCTAACTGAGCACAAAATGAAAGATCTATAATCTACTTGCAGTTCATGGCTGGATAAAAACGAATGTTACATTTCTCAGGTTGTTTCTGAATCATCTTTTTAATCTTCACCAATACAAGAAGGATACAAAATGTAAACAGTCTTCTAAACTCTGGCAGAGAAAGTCCTGAACAATAAGTTATGTTATCTTGTGTTAAGTATTAATACATGTACAAAGCACTGCATGCACACACACACACACACACACACACACACACTTATAACTGGAAGCAGAACATTTTGAAATATAATCTGGATCAAGTACAAACAACACAGTTTTTCACTCTTGCTCATCACCCCCTTACAGGAGAAGACGGGAAATGAAGAGATCTTTTGGAGTCAAGGGAGGAGACAGGAGAGACTGAGGGGAAGCTGAATGGTGCCAGATTCCCCAGTAAGACCTGGCACTCAGGCTGTCATTGGTTTTCTCAAAGCAAGAGAGCATCAGTGACAGCTGGAAAATTCAAAAATAATATTAATAGTTTCAGCAACTGCTATCACTTTTAACCTCAGCCAAGATTACTCTCTGGCACCTATGTTCAAACACCAGCACAGGCAAGAGGATTATAAAGAAGGGTGAAAATAACCCTCAGGAAAACATGTTCATCACTCAGGTTTGTTTGTTTTTTAATTTGCTAATGCACTCCCCAAATTTGTTCAAAAGCAGCTATTTTTGTGCTTTTTCATGGATGAACAGGTCTTGGATGGCTCTTTGGATCAATCATATTTCCTATAGCTATTGTATTGTACCATTTGGCTGATTGTATAGATTTTGTACCATCTGTCTGATGTATATTTGTGTTTTTTGGGGGGCTACTGTTTTTGTTGCTGCTGCTCTTATGGCCAATGGCTAAACCAGTACAATCTATCTGAATATTAGTACACTGTGCATTTTATTTCTACTGCTATCTAGATACCATTTTTATAAATCAAAGCTGGCAAGTTCCTTTTGCAGAAGTAAGCAAATAAGCCCACAACAATGATGACATGAAGATAACGCCAGCCAGTTATGATGAAGCATGGGATTAGTCAGTGAAGCAACTACTGAAATTTCTACAGAGTGCTTGGCCCACAGCTCTAAGATTCATTTACAGCTCTCTGAGGTTCTAGGTCATGATCACAGTCCAACCCATGGTCTCTTTATGCGTTCTGGGTGCAATAAAGGTCTAAAAACATCTGCTCAGAATCCTGTTATGTCAACGATATTCACTCAGTGGCTGGGAAGCCACCTTTTACTCTTTTGAGTACCACTGTCAAGACCCCAGCTGTCAAGGAGTCCAAGGCTGAACCCCTTGAGTTCCCAGGGCTGATGTACACAAGTGACCAAACTTTTTAAAAACTTATATAAAGTTTTATTTAATATATTTCAGAACAAATATTTACTCTACAAGCAACACAAAACTCTGAAATCAAGTTCTTCCTTCAGAGAGCCAGCTTGGTGTAGTGGTTAAGAGTGGTGGACTCTATTCTGGAGAATCAGGTTTGATTCCCCACTCCTCCACATGAAGCCAGCTGGGTGACCTTGGGTCAGTCACAGTCCTCTCAGAACTCTCTCAGCCCCACCTGCCTCACTGGTGAGAGGAAGGGAGAGGAAGGGAAGGCGATTGTAAGCTGCTCCAAGACTACTTCAGGTAGTGAAGAGCAGGATATAAAACCAACTCTTCTTCCATTCTTCTTCCCCCAATGGGGCTGTCAGCTGCCTCCCGTGCCCCAGCCCAGGAAACTGTCAGTAACTCTTCTGTAAAATCCATCTCCAGCTTTTTCCCCTCTTCACTCAGTAAGGCTATGCTACCACTGGCTCCTCTGCAAGGGCTGCCTTTGTCATTCCTTTCGCCTGGCTGCAAATCATCACCTTTTGCTGAACTGATGGCTTCGTCTCTTGCAAAATGGCATGTTAATACAGCAGGTCTCCCCCAATCAGGAATTCACTGTCCCCATTTGACTGAATCAATACTGTGAGTATTTCCTCCTGTCTCTGAAGCACACCTACACAAGGGCCATAGGTCAATTGAAAATCTGAGAGTCACAGGTGTGAATGGAAACTTTTTCCAGCCCATTCTATAGGCTCCTTCAGCATACTTCTGGGGATCAACCTGGAGTCACTGCCTGTACTGCCTGTATCAGTAAACCCCCAAAACACTCTGTCACCACGAACAATGACAACATCATTACGTAGTTGAGCAAGCCATTTGTTCTGAGATGGGAGGGCCACCAGCTTGTAAGGTGACACTTTAGTCATCCAGCCCCCAGACACCTCACCCTCCAAGGACACTTCAGCTCTCTCTTTCTCGCTCTCTTGCCTCTAGCTCTGCCTTCCGATGCTAGATCTGCTCTGCCTGGAGCCATTGCACTTTAAACTGTCTAGTTTTTCTTCATTACGGCAACCAGAGGTATCTCAGCATCCTGGGCCTCTTCTTCCCGACTCCCAGCTCTCCCGAATTTCCTCTGTCATGTACCTCACTTGGGGAGGGCTGCCTCTCTTCTCCTTTGGTACCAATTTTGGACAGTCACACCTGAAGTGTCCCTTCTCATGGCAGTGATAACATTCCATCTTGGGTGTGGAGGTTGCCTCTGGTTTGTTGTTTCAGGAGTATACAGAACTCTTCTTGCCAGAGCAACTGAGAAAGCTTGCTCGACTGCTCACTTCCAAACCTCTGGGTCACAGTCCTTCCTTTCTCTCTGCAGCCAGCTTCCATTACTTCAGCCCTTTCTGGTCATCCCCGGGATTGAGCTGCAAGCCAGTCAGCAAATTATGCCATATTGCCTAAGGAGGCACAGTTACGAGCTTGAATCATGGCAGCAATGTCATACAGCAAGACCTGAAAAAACTGTTCCCAAATCAAAGTATCTTGCAGCCGAGAATGTGTGTCAGCCTGAGCAGCTTCCACCCATGAGTTGAGAAACCTTGTTAGACATAACATACATGCAACATAGGTCTCCTTGAGCTTAGGGCTTGCCTTTCGGAAACACAGTTTCAGCTGGTCCTCTGACAAGCCAAAACGCGGTCTAACAAGCCTTTTGAACTGCTGATAGTCCCTAGCACTGGCAGGCAATTCCCCCATCAGGTCACTCAGTTCCCCACAGCCATGGGCATGAAGGATCCCCAGATATTCCTGAGGTGGCACCCCAAAGATGAAATATGCAGATTCAAAGGACGAGAAATATAATATGGGATCCATTCCATCCTGAAACACAGAGAACTTCTTCTCCCAATCCCAGCCACAGTCAAGAAGCAGTAAATTCATCTGTTGTGTTTGTACATCCATAAAAACCCTGACTAGGCCTTGTGGGTCTCCTTGCTGATTTCCTCCTGCTGCACCACCGCCTCTTGTACTGGTCTGCTGCACAAAGTTCTCGCCTCTCTCAGACTCCTGGCTGCAGTTCCTCAACAGAACCCCAGGCTGCTTGCTTACATGGGCATGAAGGATCCCCAGATATTCCTGAGGTGGCACCCCAAAGATGAAATATGCAGATTCAAAGGACGAGAAATATAATATGGGATCCATTCCATCCTGAAACACAGAGAACTTCTTCTCCCAATCCCAGCCACAGTCAAGAAGCAGTAAATTCATCTGTTGTGTTTGTAAATCCATAAAAACCCTGCTCTCTACGGCCTGGATGCTGGCCTCTGGATGTCTGGAGGCTGAAGAATTTCAACCATCCTCAAAGACCAATAAATCTTCCAAGCATACCTCTAGCTCTTCACCTTCTTCCTCCTCATGTAACAAAGGTTTGCAGGCTAGAGTCTTTCCTCTCAGGCACTTCCATGCTTCTTGGTGCCCACCTGTATGTCTGATTCTTGACCCAGGGTAAACTCTATCTCTGCCATACTGTTCGAGGCACCCAGTAACTGTGCTGCTGCCATCTGGCCTGACTTATCCATCCTGATCCACTAAAATAATAAACACTGCAGACCCAGAGAGTGTGTGGCCTTTCAATTTACCTGTGCACAAAGGCCCTGATTCCCTCAAGCTGCCACCATGTCAAGGAGTCCAATGCTGAACCCTGTGGGTATCCAGGGCTGATGTACACAAGTAACCAAACCTTTAAAAAATTATATAAAGTTTTATTTAATAACTTTGAGATATCTTTCAGAACAAATATTTAATCCACAGGCAACACAACTCTCTGAAATCAAGCAGCAAGAAAACAAGAAAACTAGCTTAACTATCTAACATGTTTTAAAGACCTGTGTTAGATGGAACAAACCTTAAATTCATGAGTCAAAGGCCACAGCTTGTGTGTTCTCTACACTGCTGTCTATTGCAATATGAACATCTCATAGTCCAGGCCTTTAGTCCATCAGAATCCAAGTTAGCCCCTTCTCCAGGCTCTTAGCTCAATTATAATTTTTTGGCCAAGCAGCATCAGATGATAAGGATACCCAATCAGGACACTTTCTTGCTGGCACCCTCTAGAAAATTACCTCATCACTCCTGATTCCCCGTTCCCATCCTGTGGGCTGTAGGTTCTCATGAAAAGCTAATTACCACACTTCCAGTTCTGGCCTTAAAGATGATAAGCACTATATAGGCAGAGAGAACCAATTAGCAACACCTGCAAGATGAAAACTACAGGGTTTTCTTTCAGATCCAGAGACTGTGGCTCCTGAGGCCATGCCCTAAAAGCCTGCTGTCAATACCTTGCCACTGAAAGCCCTGGAACCCCCAAGCTCATGAGGCCATATGCCAAGAGCCTGTAGTTGAGACCTTGCCACTGTGAGACCCAGCTGATGTTCCTGAAGCAGTTCTCCTGCACCTGGGTGGGAGGCAGCAGAGACAGAAGACCCATACAGAAGAAGCCAAATGGAGACACAGTGCCAAGCCTCTACCAAATGCATCAGCTCTTAGGCCAGACCATGGTTCCAGTAGACATAATCCTTTTTCAGGATCATGGCCCCAATTTAGCCTTGACAAGATGAATACCAGGTTCTGCCCCTAGAGGACATTGAAGAATGGGAACTATGGAGTAGGAATAAGTGCAAGTAGCACAATGAGCTTGAAGGAATATTGTATAAAGGCCCCGGTCACACGGGCCAGATATCGCGGGGGGGAGGCGTGGCTAATTGCCCCGGCGCAGTTTGATCCGCGATTAAGCGATCAGATGCGCCAGTGGCACACCACAGGGCCTTCCCTTGGTGCCGGCGGGTAAATGAGGGACCGGAGGGGAATGCCGCACGCTGGCGCAATCACACCACGGGTGTCTGGAGGCAGCCCGTGGCAAACGTTGACTAGTACCTTGGAGGTATTAGTTTTTTAAAGCACATCTTAGGCGGAAGCCACAGGTTAGCCACGGGAGCACTACACTTCCCAGATGTTGCGGTGTGATTGCGCCCGGAAAATCTGCCTATCATCCGTCTCTTTAGAGCGGCTAATGCTCCGTGTGAACGGGGCCAAAGTACAGCATATCATATTATCCTCTTAGAGAGTTCTGCTTCCTCTTCTTCAGATTTGGATTAGTATGGAGACAATCTTGCAAACTCTAAATGATCTCTTAGTGAACAACCTTTGAATGACATTTTGTTTTTCACAGAGGCAGAAATGTCCCCAAACAACCAATCTCTTTCCTTGACCATTTGCAACAATCTATGAGTATTTTATAAAACATGGTGACAATTTTTATTTATGTGGAAGAAAATATGCTATATACCAGGCATGTGGCCCATGAGATCTCTCAGGGGAGTGGAAATCTTATTCTACCCAACAATTCCTGCTTCTTTCTGATCTTCTTTTCTATATTATCTTTATCCACGCACTCTCCCAGGTTTCTCT